CGGATCTACGCAAACTCTTTATTTATACTACAATCAAATTGTTCATATCAGACAATGGACAGCACTTCTTTGATATCTACGCATGGATACATTTTAATTTGAAACTTTAAATGCTATTCATCAGTACTTTTGATAGTTTACACAAAATTTAGTATAACGATTCATAAAAGGCTAACCAGAGAGTTATAAAGTTTAGCTATTACACACGACTCCGTCCGCATGAAATAAAAGATAAACTTAATTAGTTAGCCTATGTGTTCTACCAGATTATGTTTCACATCTATGCTAAATTTCATCGAGGTCCATGCAGCCATTCTGGAGATACCTTCTAACATACATCTATCCAAGTTTCGCATTCATAATATTAGTAAGATAATTTGATTAAATTAGTACTATTTCTAATTCTATAGTTACTAAAACATTCATAATATATACGTGTCTCCTACCGCCATGTTGGATCGCATCGACCTTTAGAGAAGTGGAGCACGAAAGTACCGGGCGGTAGGAAAAGGGCAATTGCTATAACTACAACGTCTTCCCGGACTTTATAGGCACCTTTAAGACCCTATTACATTCAAAATAGACCAAAACTGCGACAACCTTATTAGGGAACGTACCCATACTACGTGTCCCGTTTAGGAGAAGGGGGAGCGGAGTCTTTAAAATACTACGGTCAGTCAAAGAAGGGGGGGGTAAAGGCTCAGATTTTAGACACGTAGTCGTTACTTGTTTTTTTTTCATAATACATAATTCACTAGTAATTTAAGAATGCATGCAGTCTTATGCTATAAAGAAGAGTATGAGCCAAATTATTTAAAAAAAAATCATAATTATGAACAACGGAAACGCATATGCAATTGCGTACGTCTATGGGCAACGGTCACTTCGCTATTTCAGCGATTTCAGGTGGCCGCTCGCTTGTTTGCCACCTTATGATATAAAAAAAACTACAATTCTTTAATCTAATATACTAGTTTTTCGAGTGTAATAGGATTTTCTTTTCTCTCATTTAGTTATACGTTTAATTCTCATAGTTAAAATTAATTATTGTCTGAAAAACATATACTACAATAAGTTTTAATTAACGTAATGCTTTATTAAATATCTAAAAACTTTCACATAAAACAAGAACAGTCTATTGTTCAAAATATCAAATCGCAAACCAAAGTTTCCCCGGTGATATAAAGAAGCAATTTTGATAACCGTGAAAGTAATATGCAGTACAAAAAGACGTCAAAGTAACCCGGCATTGTGAAGGATAGGTAATTTCATTCCTTGTTATTATCGGGGCTTGGATTGAAACATCGACTGATAGGTTTTGCGGTGGCCAACAATTGAGAAAAGACATTCACAATTGAGTTATACACGACAGGAATTGAGACGAATTCATTTTGTGGTATGCGGAAGATATTATAATATTACCAGAGACAATACACCCAGAGACGACGTTCGTTTCGTTTTATCACTAGAAGAACAGTAATACTGTTAATATGAATAATATTCATCGAAAAAATAAAGCTGAAATTTTAACAATATATTGATAATGGCAACTGAGCGTCGATGGCTCAGGGGTCAAGCACTTGACTTGCAATCTGCAGGTCCTGGATTCGAATCCCGCCATATACCAATGTGTTTTTCGATTTCCGATTTACATATATACATTTATCCGACGTTCTTACGGTAAAGGAAAACATCGTGATGGAACCTGCACATATCTGAGAAGAAATTCAAAGATATGTGTGAAGACAACCATCCCGCACTTGGCCAGCGTGGTTGACTATGGCCTGATCACCCTTAACTTAGGGTAGGCTCCGTTGCCCCTCGGTGGGGACGTATAGCGAGCTGATGATGATGAATCAACTTCTTATCAAACCAATAACTTCCACAACCAGAAATCCAGTATTATAAACTATCTCTACCGAAGATTAGAAGGTATCCGATATTCCTTAATAAAAAAATAGCAGTCTTTAAACTCCAGATTTTATTCTAGAATTTAGTGTTACATATCGGCAACAAGGAGTGACGAGAACAACTACGTAGAGGACGCCGACAAACGCTAGACATCACAGGATGACGTATTTTGGCGGAAAACACTTAAAACACAGGATCATCGCAATACATTCATGTTTTGGGAAGACGGTTCGAATAATAATTTATTTTTTGAGAATGTCTTTGTATACGTATTTCAGCAGTGGAAACCCAAGGTAGTATGACAGCTAATATTTTAGTTAAAAAAATATTAATGGATATACAAAGAAGCAATTATAGAAGTTCATTAGAAATAATAAAGTATTCAAGTAAATGATAACTCTCTCACGGTGCAATTACGACAATAATTAGCGAAACATCTGCCAAGTTTATGCGACAAAAGCAAACAATCATTACTTCTTACGGGTAGAGGACAAAAGCGTGACCTTGTAACGCAAATTAATTCGTTTACCATAGACAATTATTCTCATCGATGATCTCACGGTGCGGACCACAGTTTGACGAGGAGAATGATTCATAATCACATCATAAAAAACTTACTTGACCATAAACAACTTTACATGGCCAGCACACTTATTAAAATGAGAACGAACTAACATGTAGGTTATTAGAAAAGACAATTTGATATCTAAAAATCAAATATTCCTTTGACTCTTATCTACTTCAAAATGCGCGACGACTAGTGCAAACGTACCTTAATTATAAAATCAGCAAAACTAGACTATAAGATGAAACATTAAATGTATCACGTTCTTGAAAACGCTATTATTTATTTGTATGGAAGAGTAGCTATTGAACGTTACTATCCCTAAAACAAGTAACAAAAAATTATAAAAGAAATCAGGTATATGTCCATTAGCTTTAGGCCGCGACTCCGTCCGCGCGCCATTTAAAAATAGTCGCCTTCGTGTTCTTCCAGGCTGTGTTCTACACCTATTCTAAATTTCAGAGAAATTCATGCAGCCGTTTTGGGGATACCTTCTTACAAACTTCCATCCATACATTCGCATTTATAAAATTACTACGATTAAATGGCGGAAAAAAGCAAGGATATGTAGAGTACAGTTGATGAGGAAAAATTGTTTAAAGGACAAATTAACACCTTGATACATGACATCAGACATTGATTACAAACAATATTTAAACGAATAAGTAAAATTTTCACGCATTATGTCCTAAATAGAGTATAGAGGTAATGTTTTTCCCGCCTTTTTAAAAATTGGATCAGAAAAATGTGCGGAAAATACCTATTTTCAAATTAAGCATTTTTTGTTTTATTACATGAAATATTTTGAAGGAAATATAAATATTTTTGGAGTATTATAATGTTTAATTTCTAAATGGGTCACGCGGTAAATTACGTGTCGTAGTTTGATGACCCCTGACATAGCGTGTTTTAAAATATTAAATGTATAAAAATAAATTTACCTAGTTTTGTATGACTTTAAATGTGTTTATCAAAAAATCAATCCCTTCTAGTCTTTCACTAGTGTTTCATGTTTTTTAATACATAAACCTAGGGTTTTTATGCCATAAGGAAAAAAATAACCTTATCCTAGACAATAATAGATTATTGGGTTGAAATTTTATTGAAGGTGTTTACATTTGGGAGTTTTTCCGGTCCCTAAAAAGCTGTTTTTACAAAATAAACAACTACTGTTCTGCAAAAAAATAATATAAATATACATTTTTGTACCTTGTTTGTATGTTGTTTTTATATCAAAGTAAACATATCAGATTATATTTTCTGAATTACAGAAAAAGAAAATATGAACATTATTTGGTATGGTTCAAGGTCAATCAAAGTTAATAATAACTGCCTACCCCATTGTGACACAGTTGGGAGTGTTTTAATTTTACACTTCTAAAATCTTTATATTGTGCTTAAATTATAAAAAGAATTTATAACAAAGTGTATATGTATGTATATTAAAATGATTTTATTATCTTTTTTAATTATTTTAAATCCTAAAACCCATTTTTTTGGTTTTAAAAATGCTACTAACCTATTTATAACAGATAAAAACATAATTTAACATCTTTCCTGCAGGATATTGTGTAAAAAAATGAATATAAAAACAATATTATTAAAAAAACTGACTCTTTAATAAATATTATTTTAATCAAATTTCTAAATGTGACATAGTTTTTTTACAAGCGAGGATGATTCAAAATTATATTAACTTATTTATTATAAAACTAAATTGAGTTTATTTTAAAGTACGTCAAAAAACATTCGTATCACATAACAAGAGGCCAACAAGTTTGTATTTATTCAAGTGGATAAGACAAGGTGAAGTAAATATGAAGTCATAGCTAATAATACGTGTAAACAATTTTAATGCCCCAACAACCAACACTAAACGCGACGACCCGACCCGAACACTAAACTTTCAAACTTTTCCTAAACTTTAACAGAAGTATTTTAAAACAAGTGACTACTGTAATTTAAATGATATTATTTAATTAACATGCTAAACGTTAATTTAAAAGTAAATTTACCTGAGATGCAAATTTTCGATAAATTTATCAGTGGTCAAATTGTCTAGCAGGACGAAGTCTGACACACCAACTTCTGGCTGGGTAGCCATGGTAACGGTTCACTTTTTATGCCACGCAACAAATTATATGTAGGGTTCACACTATTTTTTGATAAATATTACAACAATTGTACAATTTTTGTCAACAAACCGTTAAAAATACAACGACGCCAAACACAACCGCTTCTCGTCGACATTTCACGTAAACTGACATATTTTTAAATTCATGTCAAATGAAAGAACGCAAATTTAATACAATAGCAACATTATTCATTGCCATTTAGAAAATTTAAAATGTAGTTTCCTTAAAATGAGATTGAAATCTGCAATTTTAAAATAAAACTATGGAAAAAGAGTTTTTTTTTAACTGGAACTGTACTATTTTGATAATCTTTAATTGCAACTTGAGTTTTACGGAAAATATACTCACTATCTGTGCGCCGCCATTTTCCTTGTTGTAGGCGCCTCAAATGTCATAATAATTCCAATTTACTGAAAATTACGTTTTCTTTACTTTTTACGTTCTTTTTTATATTTACTTGCTATTGTTGAGCATTTTTATGTGCAATTAGTTTTTATTTACGTAAAAAGTTTTTGTTTTGCCTTTTCTAACTGTTCAACAGTCCAAGGCTGTTTGATTGATATTTTACGATGAATATCAAAGATCTTCATAAAAGGTAGCGAGTTATTTTGACGCCCACGGAAGTGTCGTAGTAACGGCCTTAGGGATTAGTTTTTCCTAATTCCTACAGAAATGTGCGCGTAAGGTGGTGTAGTGATAAGTTGTGTATTGTGTACGAGACAATGAGTGAATCGCCAGGCGTAGAGTGGCTGCCGGCCTACAGTCCAGGTCCGCCGCGCCACAGTCCCCTGGGCCCTATACCTCGTTTTCTCTACGAAGATGTTCAACCACCTTGCCTCCAACAGGAAAATAACAACAAGGAAGTAGACCTAAAGGAAAACTTAAACAAAATCAAACACACAAAACCTGCATACAGGTATTAATTTTTCCCCCTTATAATTTAACACCTTTAAATTCATGCGTCATCAGACACTGTAGGTCATCTCACTTAGTATCTAATTGTATTTTTTGTTAATGTATTTGTTGCTTACACAAAACTTGTCATATTTTTTTGCTACATTATAATTTTTTTCGTATTCTTTGCTTATTTGCTACATTATAATTGATTAAATTTTTTTATCATACAGCTTTGTTTATTTTTTCAAATAATATTTAACTTACATCAGGGATGGCAAATAAACAACACAAAATTTTGCGCATGTGATTGATCACCAAATTCATTTTACACTAAGAAGAAAGAATTATTTATGGAGATAACACAGGTGAACCCTATGCTAAAATTATCAGATGGCAAATTAGACCTTACTAAATACTTCTATAGAAAAATGGCATATTGTTAACAAAATGTTTGCCACCCCTGCTCATTTAAAAACAAGACTTTAAAGCTGTTTTTTATGTAATTAATTATTACACCTACATAAAAAGTTGCTAACCAAGTTTGTATGTAGACTTATTAACATGCATACCTATGCAAATGTCTAGATCTTTATCTTTATTACAATCAATGCATCTTTTATCCCAATTAGGAAATTGTTGTTGCTATCTTCATACTCACATGTTTAACTATGCGTTTTCACTGTCCAGAAACTTGTACAAAGACTTTTATTATTCATTGAATGGGTTGAGAATTTTATGTCTTAATTTCATTCAGAAATGGAAAAAACATAATTTTATTTTAAGTTAGTCTACTAAAATATTATAAACAATATATGTATGTCAAAATTACTCTCACTTATCCAAGTTTCACTGTATATTAAAAACATTACTGTGTAGGTTGGCTTAATGATAGGTTTCCAATGCCTAAATAAAAAACAAATTGTAATCTATGGTTTACGAAAACGAGTGGGAATATGCTTTTAAATGTCTGTTTCAGTGGCCAGTTACATTTGGATTTTTTTTTAAATAATTAAATTCATTCCAGTTACGCAAGTATGATCAGACTGGCAATCAGCAGCTCCCCCAATGGAAAGATGACACTCAACGAGATCTACAACTATATTTGCAATGCATTCCCATATTATAAAGAAGCTGGCAAAGGTTGGATGGTAAGACAACTTATCTGTAAATATTTTCCACAGCAGAGGTGGACATCATTATCAAGTAGTGAATCAATAACATAAGTCCCTTCGGTTAAGGCAAAAAAAAATACATAAAACATAAAGTAGTACCATCTGTATTTACTAAGATTATTGTCAGTTTTATGATTTCCTATTTAAAGAAAAAAATAAATTATTCTATTTAATTTAAGATTTCATGAAGTTCCTAATTTATAGATCTCACAAGATTTTATTTGTAAACAGCAGATTTCTGGTCTAATCGGTACAGGCATGAAGTGGAAGCAATTCCGCGTTTCGTCTGTTGAGTGTGCTGGGCTAATTTTAGTCCTCTTTCCCTTCCCACCCTTTTTCTTATAAGGAAAGGATAGGAAGTGGAAGTGCACTTTCCGAATGAGAGGATGCATGGGAAGAGAAAATATTTTTTCTTTGTGCATCCTCTCCTCCGTCGATTAAAGGTAGGCAAGGCATTTGCAGTTGCGCATGTCTATGGGCAAGTTGCTTTGCTATTACAGGTGGCCGCTCGCTCGTTTACGAAGTTAAGATAAAAAAAAACTTGGTGTTAAATACTTAAGTTGTTTTGAGAATAAATGACTGTGCTTGCCACGGGGGCAAGGTCATAATCTTTTCATTGTACCTAAAGTTTCAGATTTCGATTCAGATATGAAATAATCTGGTATTGATGATAAAACTTTTGATAATATTGTATTTGTATAGATAATGTTATAACTTAGGAATGTAATAAATTCTATAATATACAGCTCCGTCTGCGCAGGATTAAGAGATAGATAATAGCCGATTTCAGACCTACTGAATGTGCAAGTAAAATTTGCAAAAAACCGTTCAAGCCGAGAGAGAAGTATGGTAACTAACATTGTGGCAAAAGGATTTTATATATAAGAAATCTAATATATAAGATATATGTTATATGTCTGTATGTTTGTTTCAGAATTCAATCAGACACAACTTATCACTGAACAAATGCTTCATGAAGGTGCCTCGCAGCAAGGATGATCCAGGCAAGGGCTCCTACTGGGCTATGGATACCAGCTACAAGATGGCAGAGGTCACCCCACGACGCCGCCGCAGCCTCAGGGTACGTTTCTTCATATTTACGTCTCATCTGACAAGTTACACAGAACTCTGTCTGGTCATATGAAATATGTTCATCAGATGGCGCCGTACAGTCCAGAATGCAGTTCAAACAGCAGTGGTGAGGCGGGCATGTTGCCGTGCGCTATAGACGCCGCGCCCACACCGCCTGCCACGCCCACCACGCCCACATCGCCCACTGTCACCGCAGTTACTACGGTCAAGGAGGAGCCTATGGTTAAGGAGGAGAACGGTAAGTATAGCTTGTTTAATTGCTCACTTTTAACACATACTTCTTAGACTTTAAGAAACCATTGTTGTCTTTGTTTTGAAATTATTGTATAAGGGATAAAATTGAATAACTCACTACACAATTCCTTAATTAAATATTCAAGAATGTATGTAAGTTGCAGTATTGCTAGTAAAAATATTTAACAATGTATATGTTAATGATTATTATTATATTAATGTTTTAGATATGAGCCACACCGACGACGCACTATCGGCTTTGATGAACGAAGAGCTGATGCCAGATGTAGACATCAGTAGAGGTGAGTACAGATGGAAGAACTTCCTAACATTATACATAGTGACTAGGTATAGTAGGACTTGGTGAACAAAACTTTGGGTATATGAAGAGATTATGAGGGTGATGATTGTTAACAGAACGATGGTGGTGGTCCGGTGGGCGGCGGCACGTGTGCTGTGTGCTACGACACAGCTCCCTCACCGACGACTACGGCAACTTCGTGGAGGCGCGCGACGACTGCGACTGCCCCGTCGACTGCGAGGACACGCCCCCCGCGCCGCTAGACACGCCCCCCGCGACCCTGGCCACGCCTTCCGCCGCACTCTGGCCTCCCACCTTATAACACCGCCCGCATCGCAATCTCAACCCTAACATATGCCAGTTAAAGGCCAGTTTTGATTGCAGCCAGGAGACATCATATTCAACCTACAAATGGTCAGTGTAGTTAAGATTTTTCATACTTCACGGTGCTCTCCGATGGGCTTTTATACTCATCATCTTGAATGTTGTATTATTTGATTAATATTCGATATATTAGTACATTTACGGAGTACATTTTTACGGTATTTTACAGTCGGATGTGTCGTCCGACAGTCTACAATGTTAGTTATTTTGTGTGGATTGCTGGTAGAGTAGTACACTTATATAGAATTTAGGATAACTTCGTATAGTTGTAACGATTTACAATACTGCTGTCAATTGCGACAGATTATAAAATTATATTCAATTAATTTTGATTTAATTTAAAACTGAAACATTTAATGTAATGTAACTACTTAAAATATCAAATGTAAATCTAACAGGGTAGACGTAACTAACAAATTTCACATTATTTCATATAATTTGATAGTCAAATGTCAAAGCCGATAAAACAACTAGAATGTAAAAAAAGTATTGCAAAAGTACTGATAAACAGAAAAATACAGATTCATATGTATTAAATATTTACTGTTTGTAAATGTCCAAAATATTTCCTATGGCAACAATTCTTCTTCTTCTTTTAGTTACTAGTAGACCCTATCGTCTAATTTCGATGATTTCAATGGCAACACTTAATTATGTCATTATTGACTTTGACATTTGACCTGTCAAATTTGACAGATGTTTGTTTCCTGTGATCCGAAGTTTGCGTTCGCAATTAATTTAGAAGAAAGAATATGTAAATATAAATCCCATGAATTAAGTGTATTTCATAAACAAAGTAAGTACATACAATAGAAGGAAATAACATAACATATCTGCCAAGTATTTATATAGATTTAGTTACCTTATGTAGGTGTAATGTAAAATAATTATGTTATATATTATCATAATGAAATGGACCATAGTGCATAGAGCAGTGGCATAGAGTTGACGTTTAGGCTTGGTTATTAGAAAGGGCTGATTATATATTTTTTTAATAATTGCAAATAATTAAGATTTTAAACTCATTTGAAGTAATCTGACCTCAGTATGTATAAAATAGGACAATATTCCTTTTTTTTTCCATACAATGGTATATTTAATCTACGAAAGAAAGGAATGTATGAAAGGATAAAAGTCAGATATAAAAGGTTGTATGTAATATGTTGTATCGTAATATTGGAATTAGTTTGGATTATGTAATAAAGGAAATGATCAGAAAGTTTAAAAAAGAAATGAAACAAATGCATATTGTGAAAGTAAGAAAAATTTATGTTTGTGCCAAAATTTACTTTATGAGAAATTATGGAAGGAATTGTATGGATTTAACATTTGTATGGAACAATTTGATATATATGCCTGTCCCAAAGATATTCATTTAATATAGCACCAATAAAAAAATCATCAGTTCACTATAGGTCCTCACTGAGGAGCTCGGAGCCTACCATAAGTCAGTGACTAGGTCATAGTCAACCATACTGGCCCTCTGCAGGTTGACTTCATACATATCTTTGAATTTTTTCTCAGATATGTGCAGCATCAAAAAATTTTCCTTTACCACAAGAACGTCGGATATTTATCCGACGTTCTTGTGGTACAACGTATACATATTTATATCAGAAATCTAAAAACACGTTGGTACAAGCCGGGATTGAAACTCAGGACCTGTAGATTGCAAGTCAAGTATAACCTCTGAGCCACCGACGCTTTGACTATTTTTTTTTCTTCCAATAGCATGTACCATGGAGGATTTTACCTGTCTTGTTTTTGGAGGTGAGAAGTTGAGTTGACTCCTTGACTGTGTTTAATTAAAATGAATGCTATGTTAATGTCCTATTTCATACATACTATGTATATATATATATATATACACAACAGTGTTTTTAGCCAGATTGAAACAGACGGACAGATCTCATACGACCAGTATACATAACAATAAGCAAGCAGATTTATTTTACATAGCATTTTATAATTATTATATAATATTGTTTAGTTAATATTGTGTATAAATATATGAATTAGTTTTAACGAATTTATACTTTAAATTAGATTTAATGCTGTAACTTTGAGTCTATACGTAACCGGCCTAGTTGCTTGAACATGTTTTTACTGCGTTTACATTGTGCCATATCGGAGTATGGTGGAACTCGACTGTCCCATATCTTAATGAAATGTGTTCAGAAACTTTTTAGATATTGTGTCTACATATATGTAGTATTGTACATATATATAGTTATACGACTGGATATGGATTCTATTATGTATTGATATGGATTCAGGACTCTGAATGGATTTTATGGGTACATCGCTGGCGATTGTATGGTAAATATTTCATGTGAAAAAAAAACAGCGTCTTGTAGAATGGTTATATTTCTTGGATCGGAAATGTACGTCCAATTGAAATGTATATTTGGGGGTTTTTTAGGTGTTTTTGACGGTGTGTCATAATATAGCAGATTTATTAAAATAGTCGGCCGGAGTGTGATGCAGTATGCTAATCGTGTAGTAACATTCCTTGCTTTATGTATAGTTATGTAAGAGATACATTTATTTACATTATGTACACAAGCGCTATTCATAAACACCAGTATTTACAATTAAGTATTTTTTTTATTATAGTTTTTAATTGATTTATATTGAAATTATAATACGACTAAAATATCTGGCCCGATGAGAAAAATGCCATGGTTACTTCTGTCAGAGTTACAGTTTTTTGGTATTAAAAGAATGTTGTTTGGAGGGGAAAGCTGAAAGCGCCAAGATTAAGCTGTCACCTGTCAAATGTCAATCTAGCGATTTAAAAAAATGTATTCCGCGCCTGAATTAAAAGTGCCCCGAAGCAACAACGCATCCACAGCGATAAAAAGCATTTTTCGTTATAAATAATTGATGAACTATATTTAAAATACAATTTTTTGAATTTTGAGTGAAATTTGACGGAAGTCGTTTTTGTGACTACAGACAACAGAATACATTGTTTTTAAAGTGAATTGTTTTAAAATTGAAAAAAAAAGCGCTACTGTCAGTTTTGATCATGCTGACATTTATAGTCAGAAAAATGCAGTTTTTCTCTCCATTCAGTGTCTGTTAACGCGGGGAATGCGTTTATGCACTTCGCAGTCCGTGCTGCGGGGGCAGCAATGACGATTTCGTGTGGGACTCCCGGCCTGGGAACAAGACCGCAGTGTTCTCCTACGCCCAACCGGACCGTGGCATCTACGTTAGTTTATCCACGACCCGGCTAGGGGGGGGGTGGCTCCATTCAATGACATTTATGTCCACCGGGTCAGATAAGTCAGTCGGTGTTTAGATGTATTTTGTTCGTAACGCGGTGCATAATCGAGGTTGCCATCATTTTTTTTAACATTTTTTTCTGTGATAACCTTTTATAATAAAGAATTAACGATATTATGGATAGAGCTGGCATATATTTTCGCAATCATTATGTGTAGTTTAATATTATAGTGAACTTTATCATATTGTCTTATGTATTAGTTTTCACGTATATTTTCTGCTAATTTTTTTTGTAAGTGTAAGAACACAACATAATTGATTTAAATTACTTAATTCATTTATATATAAAATTATTATTTATTGGTACGCAGAGTTAATTTAATTTTAATATGAATAGTATACTTACATTTGATGTTTGGTTTATATCATTTGAATAAAAAAAAATCAGTGTTGCCAACATTGCAAATTTTATATAAAAGTATGATTGCATATCAAAATAAGCTTTTTAATGTCTATAGTTTTATGTAATTATCCAAAATAACGTAAAATAGTAAACAAAATGTATGTTTTAGTTGTGTGTATTGTTCAGTTGTCACGGTCCGCCTATTGTCACGTTATTTCCCGGCCGATTGCGGCCGATACTTATGTATATTGTAACCCGCTCGAGTTAGTTTATTAAGAGTAGAATGTTCTACCTCTAAACAAAACATAGTTGATGTACAATAAAAATCTTTTAACAATATTGTGTCTTTATTTATACCCTTTTCAACTATCGAAATTTTCAGACAAAAATAAAAAAAAAGTATTTTTCATTTTGACCATCGTCACAATTGTTTTTGTTTTTATAAAATCCAATAGCTAGTCATAGAGTTGTTAAAAAATTTCCTTTCAGTAAATGCCATCATCATTGGATGGATGGATGGACGGTTAGTCATAAGGTATCTCCAGAACAGCTAAACGGATCTTTGTAAAATTTGGAATAAATCTAGAACATAGCCTGGAAGAACTCATAGGCTAATTTCAAATTATTTTTTTAATTCCGCGCGAAGAGTCGCGAGCTATACCTAGTAAATAAAAGTCATATATTTGAAATATCAACAACTTTAATGATTGAATATATACAAGAACAATCATAGATAAATGTGTTAACAATACTCCGCGCTCTTCCGCGTCTCGTAACATATTAAAGTTAACCAGCGACTGCGCAAGATCTAATCATCTATTCGTTTAACTATAACATACATTTGCTACGAATCTATGCTGAAACATAATTAGTACAACAGATTTTTATGAAAAAATTGTCGATAAACGGTAATACAAAATAACGACAACATGTTATTTATAGCAGTTATCCGTTATAAAATAACGGTTATAACATTTTAATGTTTGTTCGTTAACCGTGAAATGTCATAAAAATGTTTGCTGGCTGTACTTTATTAGACATTGGGTTGGCACTTGATATTCTATCGGTACAAATTTAGGAAATAAGACAAGATGTAAGATAGTCTTAAGCATTTTTTTTTTCATTTATTTCATTTTATTTATTAGAAAATAATAAGTTAGACCCAACTTTTAACAGTTAATATATTTCGGGCAAACTGTTTTTGTAGTCTTCATTACTACAAAATTTAAATAGAAATTGTGAAAAAAAGAGCAACCGCATCTAAAGTTCTACAAAATTCGTTGCATTAGCATAAGAAATTCAATATACATTCATTCCACAATGAAGACTAAATCGACATAAAAAAAACTAAATCTATTACTATATGAAACATGACAATTTTGTATAGACAGTGTACAATATAGGAGGTTTAAATAAAAAGCAAAAAAAAATCAAGGCCACGAGAATTGCACAGAACAAAAAAATCGCGCGCTCGGCGCAAAACTCAACTTTAAACGTATTACATTAAAGATCAAAATAAAAAGACATTCATTGTCAAACTTATAAAAATGACATTAGAAGCAGAAATCTCAGACTAAAAAAAAAGAAAACTACAATTACAGTAAAACTTTTTAGTTTGAAAGTCTATAAAAGTTTAATTACAGAAATGTGGCTTTTGGTTAATAAAAAGAAAGGATATTTATATAAAAAATAATATAAATAATAATTTTTTAAATATAACGCCATCGAACGCACTAAGACAAGTAAAAATTTACATATTCACAGCCCTAACAACGCCCAACATATGATATAAACGTATTATGACACGTTGAGTCACAATATGACACATCTGGTCACAAAATGACACGTCACGTCAGAATATGACACGTCACGTCACAATATGACACGTCACTAGTTAGCAATGATCCTGGTAAATGGTAAACTAAAAGTTTATTATTTTTTTAGTTCATTGTTTTAAATATGGGTTGTTACAATTGAAGTATAAAAAATCATAAGAATTACCATATTTTCCATTGTTCCCTTGAAAGCAATGAAATCTTGTTTTAAAGTGACTTTAAATCTGTATATTTCCATGATTTAAACCATCACAATTTGAAACAATGATCAGTCAAATAATTAAGTTTATATCTAGACATATTTAAAGACCAAACAACTTTTATTAATTTAAGCAAGCGTCCAGATCTAACTAAAGTTCAACTCTATATATCATCCTTTTTAATGTCTAATTTAAAGCGAGTTTTTTTTTAATTTCTTAATTATTATAAGCAATTTATAATAGATTTTAAAAAGTTACTTCGCATGAATATTCTATAATTCCCACTGAAAAAAAACATGTTTTACGATAAGATTTAGTTATTGCAAATTGAGACAAATTTAGCCTATTTTACACGATTATTATATAAACATATTATTGCCAAAGATACACTAAATCAACATTTTATTAACTAACACATTAATCATTTATCATCAAGATATATACAATCTTTCAAATAAATTCAAGATAAGCTAAATCATCTAATTTAAGAGCTAAAGATTTTTTTTACAATACACTTGTTAAAGTCAATTTTGTCAACACATGTTTAATATTTCTACTTCAAATATGAGAAGTATTTGTTGTTATGTATCAACGCAGTGGAGACGCATCTTTGTGTTAGTAAGAAATAAATATTCGTCTTCTTTGTCTTCTGTATACTGCTCGTGGTCAGCTTTCTACATGAGAGAATCATCTTTGAAGTCTTCCTGAAACATAGCAAATAAATATGTAAATTATTAAGCAAATATTTAGTATGTTTGTTGCAAATTATGGCTTTTAACATAATGAAGTCACATTATTTTTTAATCTGTCTCTTATATGTGAAGATATGTTTTATTATCTTCGCAATAGATGGCGCTATCTTACTAATATTATAAATGGATGGATGGACGTTTGTTATTAGAAGGTATCTCCAGAAGGGTACAACGGATCTTGATGAAATATGGGATAGATGTAGAACACAGTATGGAAGAACACATAGGTTACTTAGTTTTTTTGATGCCACACGGATCGAAGCTGATTATTAAGTTGAAGACATGTTTCATTGTCTTCCAAATAGATGGCGCTATTATTAATGATAAAGTTATAGACGTCGCTGTAGTGCGTGTATTACCTCATAGGGAGTCGCGATGCCAGACCCAGGTGCGCTTGGTGTGGTCGAAGCGGTGCGCGAGCCACTGCGCCTGCAGCAGCTCCAGCCGGTCCTGGCTGAGGTAGAGCGGCTTGCCGCGCTTCAGGTCACGATCCTCCTCGTCGTAGTCGTCCAGGTATAGCGAGCCCCACAGACAGGCGCGCCGACCTCGGATCACTATTATGTATGTGGACGTCACCACCAGGAAGATGCCCGTGCCCCCGCCGCACTCCATCGCGTGCTGTAACATTGTTATACGTTTGTAACGTGATGGAGCATTTTCTCAAAATTCAATGATTAAGTACCAATCTATAGTCGAATTAAAAAGAATTGATGAATTATGACAAAGGAAACTAAACAATTTTAGTAGTGTACTTAAGTCGCGTATTACCTGCACGGCTTCGGCGACCTGGTGTCGGCGGCAGCAGGCCTGCTTGAGGCAGACGAGGGTGCCGCACAGCAGGCAGACGGAGGCCTCCTTAGGCACGGCGCCGCACTGCAGGCACACGCGCTCGTGGTAGTACGTGAACAGGCGGTCGTAGTCTCGCGGCAGCGCCAGCAGCGCCGGCTGGCACCACGACACGTGCAGCGACCGGATCACACGACGGATCTACGTACACACACGTATATAGATACATATCAAGAAAGTGGGAAGAACCGCAAGGGCGGGGACACGTAGTTAGTGAAGTTCAATTATTAAATTTGTATATTTTAACTGTCACTATCATACATCCCTATTTGTATATGTATACTCACAGCAAGCTGGCCGCCAGTAGCGGCAGCGGCGAGCTGGCGTGCCCAAGCGCGCGCGGCGTGCGGTGCGTCCTCGTGCAGCGCGGAAGCGGCGCGTACCTCACCGCCCACTCCAGCCTGCACCAGCTCTAGATACTGTACTAATTGCGGGAATTCATCCTGCGCGTTGTCGATGTCGGGCAGCGGCTGGCCGTAGATGTGCTTCCGCAGCAGGGCAGATATACGTAGGAACGGGAGGAGAAGCTCTTGAACCTGCGCCTCTAGCAGGTCGACGTCGAGCGGCCTCGCGGCCTGATGCGTGGTCGGGGGCGCATCGTCGTCGAGCAGCGCGGCACCGGCCAGCGCCGGCAGCAAGAGGCGCGCGGCGGCCCGCACCGCGCACCCGGCCCCGCCCTCCGTCTCTGTCTCCCCCGGCCCCGCCCCCGCCTCGCACAACCCCGCCTCGCCACCGGCGAGTAGCTGGCACACCACTTGGTAGTACGTCAGTGCGTACAAAGAGCTCACTATGCACGTAAAGTGCTCTGAAAAACAATAACATACGTGTTAAAAAGTTAATATAACTATAAAATACGTAAATTAATAAAATGATACTAACGTATCTCTAGATAGGGCGCGGTGTGCGGTGCTAGCAGCAGCAGGTGCATGAGCAGGGCCAGCGGGTCGCGCAGCAGCAGAGGCACGGGCCGGGTGGCGGCGCCGGGCGCGGCGGCCACAGCGCCCCCGCCCAGTCCCGCGCTCCCCGCCGCGCCCTGTGGAGCGGGCCGCAGCGCGCGCCACGTGTTGGCCGCACCCAGCGCCGCGCCAGCTGCCGCTAGAGCGCGTGCGTGTGCTCCAGCTACCGCCATCAATGGCACTGGAAACACATTTTTTGATTATTGCTATTTGCAACGTGTTTTTTATTTTTATAATAGCATCGTGTAGAGCATGTAAAATATGTATGCAATGTATAATGGCGACTGACCAATGCAGTCGTCTCGCGGCTTGTATCGCGGCGCGGGATGTCGCAGCAGGGCGCCGCCGCGCTGCACCAGCTCGCACTCCACATTGCTGCGCACGAGAGACGCCACGAAGGTGAAGATGGCCGCGGGCGAGGAGCCGTACCGCTGTTTTAGCTTACCACCCGCCATCGCCGTCATGTCTTCCATCGCCTTGCCCATCGCCTCCGACAGACGCGACGGGCTCTAAAATACATCAAAATACAATGTTTATTTTGACAAAACATATTTTCATATTGTTTTTCGAGTTACTTTTTATTTGTTTACTTACAGGGGGTGGATGTTCACGTTCGAGCATGTCCAGTATTTGTTCAACTGGTGATGGAGGCGCAGATGGGGCGAGGGGGGAGGCGGGCGAGGCGGCGGGGGAGGGCGTGGTGGTCGAGCGGGGCGGTGCGGGCGCGAGGGGCAGCACGCTGTTGGCGAGCTGTCGGCACACGGGGCAGAGGAACTCGCCGCGCTCCACGTGCAGGTTGTGGGGGCGTGGCGCGGCCAGCGAGCGCAGGTACGCGCGCAGGCAGCGCAAATGCAGGTGGTGCCCGCACGACTGCGCGTGCACGCCGCCTTCCCAACCGACGCTCACGCTCACTACCCATGACTCCTGACATAAACATAAATTATTACTAAAATAAACAAATAATTAAAATCAAGTCTTAACATAAGTGCCCATGTGTTCAATTGCGAGACAGTGACAATTTAGCAATGCACAATGGGTGCTGACCTGGTCGAAGTGCTGGTGCAGATCGTCGTGCAAACGATAGTGGTGTGCAGCGGCTGTGAGCTCGCGCTGGCCGGCCAACCGCGCGCGTTCCGCCTCGCACAGCGCCAGCCGCGCCCCACCGCATCCCGCCCGACGTCGGTGACCCAGCACCGATGTAGACTGTACACAATAACTTGACTTTAAGCCACGAATAATTAGAAACAATGCGTTTCACACAACAAAAAACATGAAACGAACGCCATATTGTGACGTCATAGCCCTCAATAAAAAGGTAGAAAAGTAAGGTATGAGCATACCTGTAGCAACACGACTAGTCCTATCGGATCGTGGTGCGTGGCGGGGGCGGTGGTATTGCAGATGACGCAGTCGTAGTCACGCGCGGGCTGCTCATCCTCCCAGTCCATGGCGTCGCCCGCCTCCGCACGCATCGCTGACAGGAACTGCTGTTGCCGACGCGCGAACTCCCGCATCACTGCTTGCTGGCGCTCGCGAGCACGTCGAGAACGCTCCTCCTTCTCACGACGCTCTCTGAAATACAAAGTTTATAAAGTTTGATATTTGTATGATGTGGGAGGAGTCAGTAGAAGGAGCCAAGCTATTTGTTAAAGTCCCACTCGTGGCCGATAAGTGGTCGTTTTGGTTGTGATGCCTCTTAGTTGTTGGTTATTCAATATTTTTCTGATTTTTAAATATGAATAAACTGAACTGTTAATATTTGTTAGTTCATGTGCATTAATGTCACCTGGCTCGCTGCTCCGCCTGCCGCTCGCGCTGGTGTGGCCACAGCGTGCGACGTACGTGCTGCACGGCGGCGGCACAGCGCGCGTCCAGTGCAGCCAGCTTGCGTAGCACTTGACCGATGAAATACGGACCATCGCCTGCGCCCCAACACACAAACACATGTCATATTTACTTTATAATATTATAAGGTAGCAAACGAGCAAGCGGCCACCTAAATTCGCCAAAACGACGAAGCAACCGCTGCCCAGACATCCGCAGTTGCAGATACAGGTATATGGAGGGGACGCACAGAAAAACTTTAAGTTCCTATGCGTCCCCATCAAATGCAATTCTCTTTGCGATCCTTTCCTTATAAGAAAAGGGTCGGAAAGGATGGTGGACTCATCAGACTAACCATCTAGTATAAGACGAAATAGAGAACTTTGGTAGTCTTCTTGTTATTATTACCGATAGGTTCCTGTGACGCTGGTGCTGGTTCTTCCAAAGAAAATGAGTCCAGTCGTCCAGACAGTTGTGAGTGCAGTTTGAGCAGTAAAGATATTATGGATTCGTTCACTGGAATAGATTCGTCCGGTTGACTGTGTACTTGCATCTGTAAACGTACAACATTATTACCAAACTGTGCACATTTAAATTACTTACATGGAAAAAATGGTCCTTCGAGCCAGAAAAAATACCAACGAATCGACAAACATATCCAGTCTGAAGAAAGATACATAAATAAGGAAATTTCTCATATTTTGATAATGAACCAGACTAAATACAGCCGAACCTTTATAAGTGAGAGTCCAAGAAATAGCGATATATTTCTCACTTATATAAATTTCTCTCTTACCCGAGTTTCTCACATATGGAGGTCGTACGTCGGGACTGGACTATGACTCTGTTATAGAGGTTCCTCGCTTATCTGTTCAATTGTATGAATGTAGATGTTTTTGTTTAGTTTACATAATAGTTTTTGAATATATGACCTGTGTGTCGGCGGAGGAGGGCATGGGCGGAGAGGGCGCGGCGGGAGGCGCGGGCAGCGCTTGCCAGTGCGTCTCCAACGGGTCCGTTGTGTCTAAAAACATAATTCAAAATTATTAATCTCCACGTTTATGGACAGAGGGCGCTTCTGTGGTCTTTTATAATTTAACTATAGTTACAGGACTTTCATAAATGTAACGATAGTGAGCCTACCATATTCAATGGGCACGGGAGGTGTGTCCAGGTCACTCTGTGTAGGTATCGCCAAGGTCATTTGGTTGTCAGAGTCCATGTCGGAGTCGGTCAGTGTCTGCAGCACCAGGGCTTGACTTTCTCCACTTCCACTCTGAAATAGACAAATATTTAACTTATCTGCATCAAGAGACTCGCTTGAATAAATATATCGTTAGATTAATTAAGATATACCTCTAATGCTCGTACTTCTGTCGAATCACCTCCGGCGTCTGATTGGTCGTCGGGGACTGAGTTTCTATGTACCAATCGCGCCATCTACAATGTATAAATAACATTACTATCGTATTGAATTTAAAGGTAAAAAGAATTTGTTTATTATTAATTACCTGCATGGCGGTAGGCACAGCCAAAGCTGTACTAGTTGCCGGTAAAGACACGGACTTGTTGGGCGGAGGCAATCGCCCCGCCTCTGATTCTGACGGCTCCCATTCCGTATCACCTGAAGGCAATATATGCAATTTATTTATGGTAAAAATATCTCTGCTTCGGATTAAAAAGGAATAATGATGACGTAATTTGATGTCCGAATGTGTGCGTGTACTTACTATCGGAGTGATACGTGGGGGCGTGCCTGGGGTAGAGATGTGGGCGTGCCTGTGGGCGGTGCAGCGGGGGCACGGCGGCGACCACTGTGCGCGCGTTGTCACACAGCGCGCCGCCAGCGAACGCGCGCAGGAGCGGCACACCGCGCACGCAGCGCGCACGTGACCCGCCCTCGCTGTGCGCCACACATACTGAACGCTGCACAAACAGATTCTTCATTATTACACGTTGAGATTGTGACAACAGATGAAAATTTATATAATATCTTACTAAAATTACAAATACGAATGGTTGTTTGTTTGGAGGTATCTTCAGTACGGCTACGTGGATCTCGATGAAATTTGACATAATAGTCTAGAGGAAGACGTAGACTATTAATAATGTTTTTTTATTCCACGATGACAGGGTCCGGGCGACCTCTAGCATGTTACTAAAATTATAAATACATATGGTTGGATGGATGGATGTTTGTTAGAAGGTATATCCAGAACAACTCCTACGGATCCCAAAACGACAAAGAATATAATCTTGAAAAACATATAGGTTAGTTATAAAGTTTTTTTTTTAATTCCGTGCGGACGAAGTGGATTGCTACACGTGTTACGATGTGTGTGCGTGTGTGTGACGTACGTCATGAGCGCGCTGCGGCGTGGCGAGGTCAGCGGCGACCGCCAGCAGGTAGACGGCGAGGGCGAGCACGTGGTCAGGCGGCGCCGCGCCCCCC